TGGTCCATTATTTGGGACTTGGAACTGGTATTTGCACGTTCAATTGAAGCTGTGCGTTTTTGCCTGCATGACGGTCGTCATGGAGGTGTGACGGTCGTCACAGCAACAAAATGCGCATTCTGTGTTTTTCATGTTGTTTTCATCTGGTTTTCGTCCATATTTCATCTGTAATTGCTTCTTTTCTTCATATTGCTTTGTTTAGACATGATCATCAAATACCTGCAAAATATCAGACAAATAACATGGAAAGAACCCGAAATCGGATTGAAACAGTCAAACATTAGTTGAATTATGCGTCAATATATATATACGATTTCGCGTTATCAGGTATCACATATGAAAGCAGAACTTTGCAGTGTCACGTCTTATCAAGTGTTCTGTTCATTGACATGAGATTAATTGTGGAGCACGCGTGACAAAGTTCTTTAACAAACACTCAGCCCATTTTATAAAGCCTTTAAACTCTTTAAATAATCAAACACTCAGACGCTCAAACACTCAGACGCTCATACACTCAAACAATCAAACACTCAAACAGTCAAACAGTCAAGCAGTCAAACACAACAATTTTTGCAATGTCTCAAACACCACAATATGTGATTTTCGCTCATTTGAACGGTGAAGTTTTCGAATGTGAAGTGTCGGGATACAATTTCAGAAACACAAATGTTACAAAATTTTTAATTGGCAGAAGGTCTAATTTTTTACACCTGAAGAAGAGAATTGAAAAGAAACTGCAATGTGGTCCAGTTGGGCAAATAACATACAAAAACCCAGTATTTTTTGACGGACCTGATTCATGCAAATTTTTCCCTTTAAAAGTGCGAGACGATGAAGACGTGCGTAACATGTTCCGCAGCCATGAGTATTTTGGTTTCGCAGATATCGTGTTATATGTTACGTTACAACAATAACAACTGTCTCAACAACTTGATTCGTCTCAAGTTTTTTGCGATGAGGAAGATGAACACCCTGAAGTCGATGTCGTTGACGAAGAAGAAGAAGCAAATGAAGCCACTGTTGACGAGATGGTGAACAATCTAGAGGATGAAGTTCAACCTGGCAATGTATATTGTCCACCTTAACACATGACTACTATCGCCTTAGGTGACGATGAACCCTCGAGGGATGTTTTCTACAACCCCAACTACACAACAGGGGGGCAACTAAAAGAGGGTGACGAGTTTGGTACGAAAGAAGATTGTGTCCGGGCTATCAAACAGTTTCACATGGAGTTGTCAGCCGACTACAGAGTCGATCGGACAAATCCAACACGGTATACGATCTTTTGTCGTAACGAGGAGTGCCCGTTCCGATTAACAGCATCTTTCAGGAAGAGAAGCGATTCCTGGAAGATAGGGTCAATGGGTCCGTCCCACAGTTGTATAATTTCGAATCCGATGCAAGACCATCGCAAACTCAGCTCTAAATTGATTTGCGATGAGATTCTGTCAGTTGTTAGCGACAACCCGTCTTTGAAGGTGAGTACCATAATTGCACGTATGGTACAAAGGTACAACTACACTCCTTCGTACCGAAAAGCCTGGATTGCCATGACTAAAGCGGTTGAAAGGGTGTTTGGCAATTGGGAGGAGTCCTACAAGGGACTTCCTAAATTCCTGGTGGCCCTTAAACACTACTCGCCAGGAACTGTTGCGATATTGGAGACGATGCCTGCTTGTACACCAGACGGGACGTGTGTTGCTGGAAATGGAATTTTCCACAGAGTCTTTTGGGCCTTCGAACCATGCATCAAAGGGTTTTCATTTTGTAAACCTATAATTCAAATTGACGGAACATGGTTATACAGGAAATATAAGGGCACACTTCTCATGGCAGTGGCACAGGACGGGAACAACAACATTTTTCCAATAGCCTTCGCCATAGTAGAAGGTGAGACTGCTGGGGGTTGGAGTTTTTCTTAAAAAACCTCCGCTCTTACGTGTCTCCACAACCTAACTTATGTTTGATCTCCGATCGACACCCATCCATCGAGAGTGCATACAACAACCATGACAACGGTTGGCAGGATCCTCCCTCGACCCACGTCTATTGCATAAGGCATATTGCCCAAAATTTCATGCGCGAAATCAAGGACAGGACGCTGCGAAAGAAGGTTGTGAACGCGAGATATGCACTAACTAAACCCACCTTCAGATACTACTAGGACGAGATCAGACTGAACAATGCAGACGCATTAGAGATGGATTGATAGCATTGATAGGGAGAAATGGACGCGGGCATACGACAATGGGGTGCGATGGGGCCACATGACAACTAATCTCGTCGAGTCAATGAATTCTGTTTTCAAGGGAATCTGAAACCTCCCAATAACTGCCTTGGTAAAGGCAACCTATTTTAGGCTATGATCACTCTTTGATAGCAGACGTACGAAGTGGGATTCGGTATTACAATCTGGCCAGTTGTATAGCGATACTTCAATGAAATTCATGAAAGAGGAAACTGCCAAAGCCAACACACACGTGGTCACAATCTTTGATCGTACAACTGGTTGGTTCAGTGTTGCCAAGTCTATGGATCACAACGAAGGAAGGCCTAGGGGATGTTACCGTGTTGAATTGGATAAGAGTTGGTGTGATTGTGGAAAGTTTCAAGCATTTCGTATGTCGTGCTCTCATGTCATAGCAGCATGTTCCAAGTTGCGCCAGGACCCAACCAACTTTCTTTCTGCAGGTCACCAAGTCATGAGTCTATGCAATGTCTACACATGCAGCTTTCAAGTCGTGGCAAAGGAGGACTATTGGCCTAAATACGAAGGCGAAATTGTTTGGCATAATGACTTGATGCGCAGACAGAAGAAGGGTCGGCCTAACAGCACGCGCATTCGAACTGAGATGGATACCGCAAACAAGCTGGTGAGATTGTGTAGTTCGTGTCGGCAACCAGGACACAATCGAACAAAATGTTCTAACGTAGGATCAAGCAGCAGATCATAGTTTCTTATTTAATTTTGTCCCGTTAAATCAATATCAAATTCCATTCGATTAATAATAACTTTTATAACATGAATAGAAAATTTCATTCGAATAATACCAGGTTTCAATCAATTAAAACCATAGTTAACTGACAGAACAACAACATGACAACAGAACACTGCGCGAAGGCAACATAAATTAAACAAACATAACAACAACGTAAAGACCTAAAACATAACACTGCACCAAAGCGTCTACGATATCACGACCATCAACTTTATCTTCTTGGGTGTCAACATCATCACAAGGACACCGACATCATTTTCTACTTTTCTCCATTAACGAGTAACTCCGTTTCTCCCGGTCTCCTCGACCAGCCTCTCGATTTTCCTAATCTTTTCTCCTGGACCAATGTCTCCTTCTAGCCAGCGGTTCAGTTCCCTGTGCAAGTGCTCCAACGTCTGCGTATTTCAGAGGAGCACCTTCATCGGAGGCTTTGTTGCTGAGAACACAACTAGGACATTTCTTTTCATTAGATCGAACGTTGGAAAAGGTTCCTCCGATACTGATGACGACGACGAAGAACGTTGATTTAGAAATTCATACATTCTAGACTCCACTCAACTCGAACTGCACTAACACTTTAGTCTTTTGAGATATAATGTTGTGAAAACATACATGTGTTTGCGGTCGTATTTATAGTAAAAAAAAAGTACGTACCCTATATGATATTACTTAAATAACCTTACAACATTTATACGCTCAAAATTTGCTCAACACTAAATTTTTATTTTGTATTTAAATCTGTTTAAGTTTTTTCTTTATTTAACATAAATTTATTAAATTAATTAGAAAATTTTTTTTAAACCTAATTATTGTAAGTTCTTTAATTAAAAAATAAATTTTAAGCTTAAACCACATAATTTAAAATTTATTAATTCAAAAATTTATTAATATTTAAATCTAATTTTTTTAGTTTATTAATAATATTTTTGTTTCAAAAAATTAATAATTCAAAATATAAATAAAATTCGTTTTAAATTTTTTAAAACATTTGATGAATATAAACAAATAATCAAAATATAAAACTGAATTTTTGAAAACCCTAGAATCATGCATTCGCCATTTGACTTGGCGCATGACTTCCAAAACCAACTGATTTGCCATTTGAATTGTGGATTTCAACTTTTTCAAATTTGCTTTCTTCATATTCGTCAATTGGGTTGACGACCCAATGTTTGTTTTATAGCTACTTTGGTAATTTTTCTAAAACATGTGTTATTATGGTAAATAAAATTCAATACATGATTTTTTTAAAAAAATTCTATATTTGAAATGAATACTAATATAATATCGGCGAGTTCGGCGATTATGGGTTATGTTTTCGCAGTTACTCTACTATAAACAAAATTTGAAAAACTAATATAAAAAATAATATTACTATTATTAGTTTTGCATAGAGATTGAAATGTTGACTTATTAAAAACAATTTTTTTATATATTCTCTTCACCATTAGTCAAAAAGAAAATATTATCTTCTCCATGAAACACTATTCTTTAATTTCAATCTCTATTTCAAAACATTTTAAAACTCATTTTTACCCCCATTTTATCAATTTCCTATTTCTCTCTTAGAATCACAAAAAATCAAAAATTTCCCATTTCTCTCCTTTCCATACTCTCCACACATCTTTAATTTCCTTTCCTTTTTCCCCCTTTTCATTTCTCATCCTCACACACCTTTTTCCCTCTTACAAAAGAACCTACTTGTCACATTTACCTACGACTTGCTTTGTCTCTCTTACCCTCTCTCACACGCTCCTCTACTCTTTTACTACAATCCAAGAACCTCTTATTTTACTTGCACCCTTCTCATAAGTAACTTACACACACACAAAAAATGCACCAATACACCACACAAAAATGCTACTTTACTTTCTCACCGCTACAGATCTGAAACTCTTTGGATCTTCCAAAGAACTCATTTTGATTTCTGGGTTTTGATATTTGGCCTATTGGGTCATTGAAAAACCATTCTTTTACGGAATTTTCGGAAGGAAAAAAATGGGGTCTAGTAGTAGTAAAGGTGCTTCTTCTTGTAGTTCATCTTCTTCTTGTAGTTTGAGGAAGAATCGATCCAAGAGGCTTAGAGGGTTTCCTTCTTACTGTCTTGGAACAACTTCTGGATCTCGTGACAGTGATAATGATGAACGGGTAAAGTTTGTTTTCTTATTTGAAATGTTTATTTACCAATGCCACTTCTTTTTGTTGTTTTTCATTTTTTGAAAAAATTGTTATTTTTGTTTCTTTTATGTTCATCCTTGAAAATTATTATGTCTGTGGTGATTGGATTTTGGATTGTATGATGAAGATTCTACTAGGATCATACATATTGCTGAGGATTTTGAAACTCTTTTAACTGTTAGATTAATTAGATTTTAAAGAACAAGATTTTCATGATTTTTTCTTTTATTGAAAAAGTTATGATTTGATTTTTATTATTACATTGCATGGTTGAATTTTATGTTTTCAAATGTTTTTTATTTGATTTAAAACATGATATTCAATGTTACTACATTGTAGTTTCTTATTAGGATTTTATTGAATTAGCTACTTTTTATGTGTATCTCTGCATTCAGAATAAAAACTATGATGTGGAAACTGAAAGTTGTTGGTATTTTTTTGTGGTTGTTTCTTGCCTTGCAATTTACTTCTGAAAGACTACCAAGAAATGGTTTCTTAATAGAGTAACTAATGTGTTCATTTCTTGTTACGATTCGCAAGTTTTGGAAATTCTTGTGTAGTATAACTTGTTTGGCACCGTGTCGCTTTCGAATTTTTGGTTATTGGTCAAAGTTTTGTGGTGTTAATTATCTAACTATAGTTTGAAACTTGTGCTTTAGGTTTGTGATCAGAATAAAGTAAATGGAAGTGATGTTACATACAGCAGTAGCAATGAAATTGACTCCGATGAAGCGAAATCGGAGTCTTTTAGGAAAGTTAAACCTGATGAAATACCTTGTATGCCTTCTAACATTGATCTTGATGAGTGGAGTCACGCTGAATCCAGAACCGCGAGCATCTCGGCGCATGGTTCTTCAACTCAGTCGACAAATTCTACAAGTCGGTTCCTTTCTCGGTTTAGCCTTATTCCAGGTAATATAAGCTTCAGACTTAGCAGAACTACCAGCTTAGGGTCATCTCGACCTTGTCCTGATTCTTCGGCGGGTCTTTCTATATTTAACAATGATGAAGCCGAGCTTAGTCTGCATAATAGAAATGAAACTCAACAATATAATGGCGGCGACTTGCTTAACGGGTCTTTTGTAAATCCAGTCCCTATACAGTATCATGGAGATGCTTCTAATAGTTTAAGTTCGAGTGCCCCGATATTCGGTTTGGCTAGTAACTTGTCGAGCAGTCCTACGCTGTCTCCTCTCGAAAATACGGTTAGAGATGAATATGCCACACGAGATATGCCTGGTATGAACATGTTTTCTCCGAGAATTAATACCGAGGCTGGAAATGCTATGGATAGACGGAATGGAGCTCGAGAACCTGTTGACCGCAATGTTCGTTTCAGCCGAACTTTAAGCGTTGGAAGGCTTCGCGACAGAGTTCACCGCCGATCAGGATTGGCTGACTTCACCTTTTGCCCTTTGCAACAAGAGAGAGATGCTAGCGAGGATAATGGAAGACAAGTAGGGGAGAGGAGTACAGGAGTGACACCGTCTGATCGAAACGCTTTAAATTCTCGTACTACATCCGGATATCCTCTACCAAACAGGTCTAGCTCTCCATTCAGCACCCAAGACCACGAGGTTGAGGCTTCACGGTCAAGAGAAACTAGGTATCAGGATCTACTAGAACATAGGTCCAATTTCCTTGAACGGAGAAGAAGAATACGATCTCAGGTATGTGGTTTTTTCTGAACTTTTAGTAACAGCTAATGGTTTAATAATATGTAATGACTCTTTCTCCATGCCATGGGTTTATTATTCATAGTAAATGATCCCGATTTCAAATGGCTTAGGTTCGTGCTCTTCAGCGGTTGGGCAGCCGGTTTGAAAATCTTTCCGGACATGACAGATCATGTATCTTATCTGGCCAACATAGAAACGGTCGTTGTACATGCAGAATAAGTAGTCGCGAGAACAATTCAAATTCAAACGACGATACAAATGCTAGAGCTAGCATATCAAGAATAGTGATGTTAGCCGAAGCCTTATTTGAGGTTAACTTTATAAATTAGTGCACTCTTATTTTCTAATTTTAAGGCCATTCATTATATGTTTATACAAGTTGAATCCTTTGTACATCATTAGGTTCTGGATGAAATTCACCAGCAATCAGTGGTTTTATCTTCTCGACCTTCTGTATCTTCTATCGGATCTGTTCCCGCACCTGCTGAAGTTGTCGAATCCTTACCTGTTAAATTATACACAAAGCCGCACAAACATCAAGAAGAACCCGTACAGTAAGTATTCCATACAAAACGTATTTTTCCTAGCTTGTTTTACGTCTTCTCTCAATCACAATTGTTCACTATACGGCAATCCTTTAATTTGACAGATGCTATATATGTCTTGTGGAGTATGAAGATGGCGACAGCATGCGAGTACTTCCTTGCCATCACGAATTTCATACAACATGTATCGACAAGTGGCTGAAGGAGATTCACAGGTATGTCAGATTTAATCGCCTCTTCTTCTGGTTAACATTAACAATACAGTCATAAACTTCAAAAAATCATAGAATTTTACCAAAAAAAACTATAGGCTCCATAATAAATCTGATATAGGAGCTTTGTGGCAATAACTCTTGGAAATTCATTTCATATGAAAAACTTTAAGTGGTCCCTCCCTCTAATAAATGTTGAAATTTCTTTTTCATCTTTACCTGCTCTGATTTTTCCATGCTCCTAGCCTTGTATTGGAAATGTGTGACTTTAACTTTTTTTGTATATTTTTATGATTGTTCGACAGGGTATGTCCACTATGTCGCGGAGATATTTGTATATCAGATTCACTCCCAACAGAGAACTAAAGTTGCCAATTGTTTATCAGCTGCATATACATTTGTGTAACTATGAAGTATCAGAAGCATTGTTGTCAATGATTGTTTAATACAATTTTCTCAATAATAAATATCAAACATTGGTTGAAATATACTTCAAGCGAATTCTAGCTCTTTTTTTCTATTTATCATGACACGCATTCACGCAGTCAGAGAATTTGTGACCGTGAGCTTTCAATCTGATGGTCACTATTTGCGCGTAATCCGTTTTGCCACTTAGTGAGGAATTCTGCCAACATGTTGCACTAGAAAAAGTATCATGATATCATGATGAGTATGATACATTTCTTTTGGTGAAACTTACATGATTCCGCAAAAGGAGGGGGAAATTTGTGATTTTGAACCAAGCATCTTTGACTGAAGTGTTTCTGTTTAAACTATAGACAAAAGTACTTGAAAATAAGAAACGGTTGTGCACGCGTGAAACATTCTTTTCACTTTTCAGAGGAAAAAAAGGTAAAGGAAAAGAAACATGAGAAGTGGTAGTTTGAGAATATAAGGAAGCTGTCTCCTTAAAAGAACTACTAGAATGGGTTTGTACAACCTGCTATGTTTGGAATTCAAATGATGATTGACATTGAGTTGATAAAGAATGAACATTCAATTTAAAAATATAAATCACTTGAATTATGAATCTAAGTGTTGTATTCTTTAGAAGCAAAATAAATGTGGTAAATTCCAAAAGCACCCCCCGTCTAAATTTTAAATATCGAAAACATTTGGAGGAAGTGAGTTCTAATAAAAAATATTTTGAAAATTCAAAAGAAAATTTGTACATTAAGTTTGGAGTTGGTGAAGAATCATGTGACATGCATGCAACATGGGTAGTTATTCTTCAATTTTTCTTTATATTCATCGGTGTTTTTCTGAAGTCAACCGACCAACTATTTCAGAATCAAAACGACAATATGAATATGAATAACAACACTAATCGCAACAAAAATGGCAAGTCAGGACCAACATCATGTCCAAAGAGAAATGATTCTAGTGCCTCAAAATTCATTTATTACCATTGTAAGAAACCGAGACATGTGACATAGATGTGTTGGAACATGTCAAGCTCTCTCTGCGAGATAATCTGATTGAAGAGTAATTTATTGCAATAATTACAAAGATCAACCTTGTAGTTGGATGAGATGGATTGAGGGTAAACACTAGTATTTCCAGCCATGTATGATACGATTGTTGTGAGATAGTAGATCGAACTTTAGTATGATCGAAGGTAGCTTTTTGGTTCGACGGTGCGATAGATGTTTAACATGCAGTCGAAGGCCGTTCACATATTGTTGTCAAAGTAGTGTATGTTGTAGTTGAAGTACGGTCAAGCGTGCAGATGTCGAAAATGCTAGATTTGTTAACATGACGAATTGGGCTTGTTTGTTATGTCCAATTGTTTAAGTTAGCTTGTACGCTAAGTTAACTTGTAATGAAAAATTATTAAAAAAAACTCATTAGTTTAGTATGTTAGATTTTATTATGAATAGCATACTAGTCTCTCAACTTAAGTGTGGTAAATCCTAATTAGGGTGAGAGGGTTATTTGCTATTCTTGAGTACTTCTAATCTGATTTAAAGAGAAAGTAAAGAATAATAGTTATAACTAATCCTCGTTGTTCTTCTTTTACCATCTTTTCTACCCTTGTGTGTTTCTTGATTATAAAGAAACAATTTACAATTTGTTCCCAAGGCATTGGATTTCACAACAAATTAGTGCGGTGAGCCTAGAGGAAGATGCCTTTAACAAAGTATGAGATTGAAAAGTTCACTAGAGTGAACGATTTTGATCTGTGGCGCTTGAAGATGAAAGCACTACTGGTTCAGTAGGGTTGTTTGGAAGCGTTGAAGGGAGCTGCGACCATGGACGTTGTGTTAATAAAAAAAAATAACGAGTATGATAGAGAAAGCCCACATCACCATCTTATTGAACCTTAGTGATAAGGTTCTACGACAGGTTTCAAAGGAGACGACAACGTTGGGGTTATGGGTGGAACTCGAAAGTTTGTACATGACCAAACCGTTGGTCAATCGCCTCTACTTGAAGCAAGATCTGTATTCGTTCAAGATGAGTGAAGAAAGAGTTTTGACTGAGCAGTTGGATATGTTCAACAAGTTAATTCTTGATCTTGAAAATATCGATGTCAAGATTGATGATGAAGATCAATCGCTATTGTTGTTGTGTGTTTTACCCAGAATACATGCTTACTTCAAAAAAATTCTCTTGTATGGAAAAGAGTCTCTGACTTTTGAAGAAGTTCAGTCAATATTATATTTGAAGGATTTAAACAAACGAAAGAAGCACAAGCCATCTTCGATCGGTCAAGGGGAAATACAGAAAGAGAGATGGTAAGTTTGACAAGAAGATGGGTAAAAGTCAACAGAAGTCTTATACTGGTGATGCATCTGACATTCGATGTTATCATTGTAAGAAGGAGGGTCATACAGGAAAAGTGTGTCATGAACGCCTGAACAATCATGATGGAAAGGATAATGGTAATGTAGTTGTTGTGCAAGATGATTATGAATCATCTAATGTCCTTTTGGCAGCGATTCAAGAAAGGAGTGGATTATGGATTCAGGTTTCACTCTGCACATGACTCCAAACAAATACGTGTTGAAGAATTGTGTGATCAAGATGGTGGATAAGTCCTGCTGGGAAACAACAAAGCTTGCAAAATTGTAGGTATTTGATCTATGAGATTTAAGCTCCATGATGAGTCAATAAGGCTATTGACTGAAGTCAAGTATGTACCTAATTTGAAGAAAATTTTGATTTCTCTCGGTCAATTCAACAAGAAGGGATGTGTTTTTTAAGGAGAGAAAAGTATCCTAAGAGTCATGAAGGGGTCAATAGAAGTCTTGAGAGGTGTGAAGAAACAAGGCTTGTATACCCTTGAGGCTGAAGTTGTAAGTGGTTAGACAAATATTGCATCCACGAAACCTTTGTCGAAGATAGAAATTTAGCACATGAGATTGTGTCATGTTAGTGAAAGGGGTCTAGTCAAATTGGGGAAACAAAATCTGCTTAGTGGAGATAAAGTCGAAAAACTGAAATTTTGTGAACCCTGTATACTTGAAAAATCTTGCTGAGTAAAGTTTAATAAAGGCAAACAAAGAACACGTGGATCCCTTGATTACATCCCTACCAATCTTTGGGGGCCTGCGAGGTGTCCTCACATTTAGGCGCAGGGTATTTTCTATCCATAGTTGATGATTATTCCGGAAAGTTATGGGTATTCATCCAGAAGATTAAGGATGAAAATTTTGAGAATTTCAAAGGTTGGAAGACTCTGGTAGAAAATCAGACTAGCAGAAAGGTCAAGAGGTTAAGAACCAACAATGACCTTGAATTTTGCAATGAGGCGTTCAACAGCTTTTGTGCTGCCTGAAGTATTGCAAGGCACAAAACTACTGCAGATACTCCATAACAAAATGGTTTGGTAGAAAGGTTTAATCGAACTATTTTGGAAAGAGTTATATGCATGTTGACTAATGCTGGGTTAAAGAAAATGTTTTGGGTTGAGGTTGTTTCGACAACAACATATTTGATAAATAGATGTCCTTCGAATGTGTTAGATATGAAGACACCTGAAGAAGTTTGGTTGGGACATCCACCAAATCTCAACAAATTGGGAGTATTTGGTTGCATGGCCTATGCTCACATTAGGCAGGACAAGGTCGAACCTATAGCTCTAAAATGCGTGTTATTGGGATACCCTGAAGGAGTCAAAGCTTATAGGTTATGGTGCCTATAACTAGGTCACAGGAGGTGTATCACCAGTCAAGATGTAGTTTTTAATGAATCTGAGATGACCTTCAAGAAAACTGATGGTGCTGGCGAAGAGGTGGAACAGGGAGAGATTCTTGTTGAGGGGGAACATGTTGATGTTGAATTGCGTATCCCATATGAAGTCGAAGAAGAAGCAGAAGATACTGAAGAATTTAAGGAAATTATCGATGATTCCCTATTGTCAAGAGATAGGTCGAGGAGAGTCATCAAGCCACCTCTGAGACTTGGGTATGCAGATCTTATAGGTTATGCCTTAATCTTTGCTGGTGAGGTTCTAGACGAAGAACCTAGAGACTATATGGAATCTATGAGGAGTCAAAATAAGACTGAATGGCTGAAGGCCATGGATAATGAGATGAAATCTCTTCATGATAACAACACTTGGGAACTGGTCAAGAAACCTGTTGGAGCCAGGTTAGTCAGTTGTAAGTGGATTTTTAAAGTTAAGGAAGAAATCGAAGGAGTGACGTCACAGAGATACAAGGAAAGATTGTTCGCTAAGGGTTTCACTCAGAAAGAAAGTGCCAACTTCAATGGTGTGTTCTCTCCTATTGTGAAGCACAAATATGTTCGAATGTTGCTTGCCACGGTGGCATAGTTTGACCTTTAACTAGAACAGATGGATGTGAAGACTACATTTCTTATATGGTGATCTATATTATACAATCTTGATGAGGCAACCTGAAGGATATGTCTAAAGGGGGAGGGAAGATTATATGCGCAAGCTGAAGATATCCTTACATGGACTGAAACAATCTTCTTGATAGTGGAATAAGATATTTAACAAGTTCACGACATGCATAAGTTTCATTAAAAGTTAGTTCGACCATTGTGTTTACTTCAGATTTTGACCTGGTAATTCATTTGTTATTTTGTTGCTTTATGTGGATGATATTCTAATAGCAAGCAACAAATTCGAAGAAGTAATGAGGGTGAAGGCTCAACTCAATAAGGAGTTCAACACGAAGGATCTAGGAGCTGCATTCAGGATTCTCGGGATTAACATCTGAAGAGATAGAAATCAATCGAAATTATGCTTATCTCAAGAGGCATACCTACGAAAGATTCTTGAAAACTTTGGTATGTCGAATTCAAAACCTGTTGTGACTCCGACAAACCCTTAAATCAAGCTGAGTATAGATCAGTGTCCTAATACTGACGTTGAAAGAGCTTATATGAATAGC